AAGTTATTCTATTCTATTCTATTCTATTCTATTCTATTCTATTCTATTCTATTCTATTCTATTCATAATTACAAATCATAAATAAATGAAAGGTAGAAGACAACATATACAGTAATATCTGCCCCCTTTTTTCCTCAGATAAATACTTTTAATTAAAATTAAACTTCAAATAAAAAAAAGTTAGATGCAGTTTTGTTTTTTCCTTTCTGATCACTGCAGCCTTCAGGCTAAAACAGAGAAAGAGTCGGTGTGTTGTCCTGTGTTCTGTCTGTAGCCTAAACAAAAATGAGTTACGTTATATGTCTGACATAAAAATGACCAGCTTTCGGGGTGAAACCAGGGGGAAAAAAGGTCGAATCATTAAAATATGGGTAGAAACTTTGTTGTTCAGTTTCTCTGTTGGATCAGCTTGGGACAGCTGGTCTGCTGAGAGGGATTGTTGTGTTTTTTCTGATATGAGCTCAAGGACTTACTTAGACCTGACTATGAACCTTACTGGAATCAGACACAAGAATAAAGTGTTGAGAAAAATCCAAGTGGGTCCTGCCATGATTCTGACATGACATTTTTTTCTACAATTCAACACTAAACACTCTATAATAATATTTGGCGTGGTGGATCAATGGTTAGCACTGGTGTCTCACAGCAAGGAAGGAACTGGGTTTGATTCATGGTTTGAACCTGGGGGGTTTTCTGTCTGCAGTTTGCATGTTCTCCTCATGTTCGTGTGGATTTTCTTCAAGTTGCCTCCCTTGTGAAAGAGACCTGTGGTCGCAAAATGTTAATAAAAAATAAATAAAAATATACGTTGATGGCAAAGTGCAAAGATAATTTTAAAATTGTTTAAAAAATGAAATGTAACATTTATATAAAAACTTAACAGCTTTCACAGCAACTAGCTACAGTGATCCACCTGAGGTAAATAACAGCAGAACTCAGTGAAGTAGTGCACATCACCTACTGCTCTACATGTCAGTTTTACACAATAACCAGAGTGGAATATATCATCATCATCATCATCATCATCATCATCATCATCATCATCATCAATTTATAAAGCACAATAAAAACCAAAGTGCTGTACAGGAGCATAAAATACAAACAATGAACTATATATATA